CTTTTTGTCTTTTTTCGTGACCGGTAATGGGATCACAACCCTTGGTGTCACGCCTGTACCGCGACCGGCAATGGGATAGCAACCCTCGGTGTCGCGCCCGCACTGTACTCAACCAGTGAGCGGACCAGTCTCTATATGTGATCCGAACCCTTGGCGGGAGCACCGCCACACTCCCAAGCACCGCACTCTACCGAGTGCGCCACCGGGCCGGTCCTTTTGTTTAATTTTTTAAATGTGCAATTCATATCCTATTTTCCACTATTTTAAGTAGTGCTCAGATGAACATATTAAGTAGCCGCCTCTTTGTGTCTTCCCATTTGTGCACAATTTGATTTCCTTGAGATAAATTCATAGATTTGATTTCTTTCATTATTCATGAACAAGTCCTCCCTCATTTTTTTTCTTTGAAGGTGGGATGGCAGCTAAAAAATCTGGTGAGAAAATTGAGAGAGAATCCCACGGGAGTTGTGCTACTGCTTAAGAAACGTCCCACGGGTTCTTTCAACTTTACCCCTGCTCCCCTGAAAAACCTACGGTGGAAGCCCCCTCTTGTGCAGGTATCTGTTACTCATTGTAAGCCTTTATCTAGATCAGCACATGGACAGTGTTGAATGTCTGATTTGACTCCAGAAAAATTAAAAAAAAAAAAAATGATTAAGATTTGGAGGTGATTGTTTTCAAGAGTTTGTGTATAATTATCCTATAATCCTGCTAATATGAAAATATGCATTTTAGATCTGAACTAAACAGTATGGTAGCCGGTAGCCATATATAACTGTTTAAATAATTAAATTTAAATTTAATGGAAAGTTCATTTTCTCAGTATCACTAGCCACATTTCAGGTGCTGACTATTCATTATGGCTGGTGGCTACCATATTGGACAGTGCAGATTTAGACATTTGCATCCTCGCAGAAAGTTCATTGTAGTCCTTCTCTCTCATTTCAAAAACATACTTATATAACTGTCTACAGTTTGAACACTCATCTTAGATCAAAGGGG